GAAGGTAGGCCAAGATGAGTGTTAAACAGACTGGGAGACACATCAAGCACACGATTTCGAAGAAAAAGCTTGTGAAAACGGGGACTATTAGGATCAAACACAGCAGGGGTGAGATTGGCATAAAATTCTTTGACAACTTGACCACAGAAGTGTTGAAGGTCAGACACAGTTTTAGACAAACCCACAGACTCGATCAAACGAAGAATTCCAAGATCAGCAAACTTACCATCTTCCACAGCACGTTCGGACCAGAAACCATAGGAACCAAAAGAAACAAACCGCTCATGGGCCGCCTCAGTATAGAACCGATTAGTGAAGGTGTTCTCAAGATCATAAGCATCGTCCTCAGGTTCTGGAGGAACAGGCGGTGCATCAATGGATTCTTTGCCCCGCCGACGAGTCGAGCGACGAACAGGCATCTTGGACGGTGGCGAGGGCTGATCAGAATGAACATCAACGAGAGTTGCAGCTGTGTCTTCCTTGTCTTCTTCGGCTGCTTTGGTTGCAGTCTTTGACGTCGTCTTGGTAGCAGATTTGCTCGCCGAAGTTGGAACAACAGACGACTCCCCCTGAGTTGGAGCCGCTGGAGTCTCAACAAGCCCTGACAGACCAGGTACACTGGTGGCGAGAAGAGAAATCTCAAGATTTTTATCGGCAGTCTCTGAGTTGGACGGAGAACCAGACAAAGTTGCAGAGATAGAAACCGACTTCTCAGGAGGAGGCGACTCAGGCGATGGGGATTTAGCCGGCGGAGGAGATGGTTCACGAGCAGAACTTGTAGAGAGGGATAGGCGACGCCGCTTCAGCCGCTTCTCCTTGTGCTTCTTAAGACGTTTCTTTGACTTGTCCTTGCTACCAGCCATGGGAGAAGGAACGGCGATTGAGTATGGGAGAGGTAGGGTTTCAGAAGGTTTGAAAAAGAGAATGAGAGATGAAGATAAGTTCAGACGAAAAAGATATGATTGAACTGAGAAGCGTGAGAGATATAAAGAGTTCTGACATAGATAACTGCAAAAGGTGGTTT